CTTCTCCGTGGTGCCCAGTGACAGGACAAGAGGCAACGGGCAGAAACTGAACCACAGGCAGTTCCATCTGAACCTGAGAAAAAACTTCTTCACTGTGGGGGTGACAGAGCATTGGAACAGGTTGCCCAGAGAGGTGGTGGAGTCTCCTTCCCTGGAGATATTCAAAACCCGTCTGGATGTGATCCTGGGCAATATGCTCTAGAGGACCCTGCTTGAGCAGGGAGGTTGGACTAGATGATCTCCAGAGGTCCCTTCCAACCTAAAGGATTCTGTGATTCTGTAAAGCAGGAAGAAAGAGGCCTTAAGGTAAGCAAGTTTCTTCAAACATAGTCTGCTTTTTTTGTACAAGCATTTAAGCTATGTCAGTAAGTAGCAGGAAATTACTAATTCAAACTAGGCACATAAACTTTGCTTGATTCTCTCCCTGTGCACTGTCTGCACCAAAAGTAACAGCCTACTACTATCTGCCCTGTGCTACTAAAGGGAAGTTACAGCATCTCTTCAAAAGCTTCATGCTTTCAAAGGCAAAAGCAATGCAGAACCTATTTCAACTTGTTACCTTCCTTCTTCAGTTGTGAAGAACTATCACACAGGCAGAAGAAAACCACAGTAAATGGGAAGATGTAAAAAGACACTGAACAGAGAGGCTTACTCCCCAACTGCTTTCAGGTTGGAAAAAGATGGAAACTATTAAGAGCTGCTGGCTGACCGTTACATAATTAGCTCTCCAGCTAAGACATTTACACGACTCAATACAAAGTCAAATTCTCCTCTAACAGAAAAAAAAGCTTACTCGGCGAGAGTGTTTCTCAACATTATTCCAGTTAAAAAAGTAGTGCCTTCAGAGCACTACTGCACAGTCTTCAGCTGCTATGATGTCCCTAGTCCTCCCCACCCTCTCCCTATCATATGGCTAAGAACGCACTGAACTATGTTAAAACATCATTCCAATAGCCATTCCCTGACCCTGGCATAACTATCCCTGCCTTCAGTTATTATCCATGGCCTAAGGAAGACTACCCCAATACAGATAACATACACGGGTACTGCTAACATATAGAGACGTAAAAACTCATGATTTTTGCAAGCAGGATCAACATCTAGAAAACTATAGTTTATGTCAAAAAACATACTCAAGCACTCAGAAACGAAAGTGCCCGCCCTTTTGTTCTGTTAAAGGTGGGAAGCTGCAAGACCTGCTTTTAGGTAGGAATTGGCATGTAATTCTGCCACTTAAATAATAAGAAAGCTACCTCAAACTTAAATTGTGCCTTCTCTAAAATACATTATTCAAACACCATTTCAGATATGCCATTGCTCCATGTTTCAGAGCTCACAACTCCTGCTATGCAGACTTCTTCCAGTGTCAGGAACATGCAGGTATCCAACTGATACTCTTGCATGCCAAACCCAGGAATGCCACTGCTCTACGGTAATTCTCCACATTCTCCCCAAAAGGTGAGTCTCAGCATGTTTCATTTTATTTCTCTATGCCTATTCTTTTAATAGTATCATCCAGAGTCGTGCTGTGACAGCTTCCAGAATAAACTAGAAGGGCTACCACTAAACTCTCATGACAATGTTTTGATACACAAATGTCACTCATCTAGAAGGCAGAGAAGTCCCATGACTCAGTGGATCCCCACCTATGTGTACCGGAGTAGAAATTTAAATGAGATTACTCTGTTATATGAACAGTTGTTTATTCAGCCATTTTTGCACTTTACAGCTGGAATTCTGGAAACTCAAACACCACATCTTTGCCTGTGAGCTTCTTGTAGACACCAGAAAATGTTTCCACCTGTGAAGACAGACAGTGTTGTTTATAAGCTGTATAGGAAAGTAAAACGCATAGTAACATAGTTTAGGTACTACACCACTTCCCATGGTGTCTTCACTCGGAAGTGAACTCTTAGGCTGATTATTTTCTTCCAGGCATTAAGATCGATTATCTAACCGAGTATTTATGTAGAAGGCTAATGTCTTCTGTAGAATATTTAGAACCTCCTTGATTTGCAAGCAAGAGAGACCTGGAAGAGCTGAGTTGTCCCAAATAAGCACCCACAAAACCTAAGCCAAGTGACAGGAGATTTCAGGAAGTACCAAGCACATCGGCTTAAGCTCAAAACTAAGTGCTGCATTCTAAAAAAGTCACTGTCTGTTCCCATGAAGGAACCAACACGGGTGCTTTACAACCCAGGGGTTTCGGCAAGTCTAGCTGAACTACAGCTTTAGTTCAAGAACTGTCTTGCCTAGATCTTTACCATCTTACTCCAGACATCAATAGAAGCATCTCCATTGCCACAAGCCAAATAATTAGTCTTTTGCTATGTTACATAAGCAGCCTCTTAGGTATTTCAGAATGCCACCCCATCCTGCATAAGGATGTATTTTATTTTATTTTTTACCTTGTGTTCAACATTGTTCTGTTGTGCTTTGTCCAAATGGACTTTTATGAGCCTGCTGCCGTCCAGTTTTACGCGGATTCTCTTGCCCACAATTTCACTTGGGAAGACCAAATCTTCAAGAATGGCATCATGCACTGCAGTAAGCGTACGGCTGAAATGCCACATTTGTATTATTAAAACAAGTCCTGAAATCTGCAGAATTTTCTAGCCTGCAAAATTTTCTAGTTTGCCAAGGCTTAAGCCTTCCACACATGATTTTCCTGAAAATTCAGAGTTTTTGTAGCAATACAGTGAGACAGTATCACACCTTTTCACAAGACCTGCAGGAATAAAAGTTAAGTTCTACACTGTCTGCAGAAGTTTAACAACTGTGTGAGGAAAAAGTCAACAGCCATGTTCTTGATCTGTTAGCTCATATACTGTTTTGCAGCTCTTGAGTGTTTGAGCGTTCACAAAATAACATCCAATACTGCCTTGTAACAGCCCTTACTGTTAAACAGTTAAGGAAAACTATTTAAACCAGAAATGAGTTTTCCCATCTGCAGTTTTGTCAGAGGCACTCACTGGAAGAGTTGAGTGTGCAAGTATCTTCAGCTACACAGAGTATGTTCATAGGAGACCCCAGTTTTGAAAACACTGGCTTCTTGATCTGCCTAAAACGAAGTGGCTTAAAACTGCAAGATGTTACAGGAAAAAAATCTAGTTGTAAGTTTGGTCTGTGCTTAAAAAGACTGTTGATACTGTCTACACTCATGTTCTTGAATTTGCTCTTGAACAATTTGAAAGTGAGCCACAATTAGAACAATGGAGCCAAATTTTCTTAATGTATGCGTATAAATGGCTATTAAAATTTCCAGCTTCCCAATCTGCAGTGTTACAAGTATCACTAATAGCTAAGCCCTGTGTCTATGGCAGCATTTGAATCTTCCAAAGATTGGGATAGCTAGAGGAGACAAACATCATACTTCTGTACTTTGCAGTAGACATATCAAGAGTTTTACTACACCGCGAGCCTTTTTTTTAAGCCCCGCCTAACGCTACTCGCTTTCCCTTATGAAGGTGACAACATGCTGACCAGTACACAGCTCCAACTTCTCTAAGCACCATGTAATACTAGTTTTAACGCAACAGGGGTGGCAGGAATGAAGGCTCAAGACGGGACAGCAGCTAGATGAGTATCATGAAGCTGCAGCTTTAAAATCCATGCCTGAAAATGTGAAAATCCAATTTTAAAAGATATGACACAAGTATAACACTGGGACTGGAAAAAGTTACAGGAACACACGACATATTATAAGGAGGTCAAACTTAACTGCATGAATATGTAGTAAGCTAGAAACAGCATAAAAGAGGCAGTGACGCTCACACAGACATAGTACAGCGTTTCACGTCTAGCAATACCTCAAATTTAACAGACTAGGTGAGAGCAGGGAGGCCATTTAACACAACTGACTATACTATACCTGTTAGATTTGGATCCAAGAGGACTACTTGTACTCACATCCCTCCTCAGCCCCTCCTTTTTTTTCGCCCCCCCCCCCCCCCCCCCCTGTGTGCCAGTGAAGCCATTTGTACAGTCTATGCGATGTGGCTGTTTTTATAGCTTCAGAAAGATTCTTGAGAGCACAGTGTAATAACAAAGAAAGCAGACTGGGGGTTCTTTCTTAGGCAGCATTGCTGGCTAAAAATTCAATATAACTTTATCTGGAGATTGAGTTCTTTCTAAGAAATGCAATTTCAATACTATCAGGCTGTAAGACACACTAAGGACAAAAGACCACCCAATCACTTCAGTGACTTTTCTCAAAACTTTGACTAAACATTACTTTCTACCAAGTTACAAAGCAAGGTTGTCATGTTGAATCAATACAACTTACTATCACTTACCTCCTGGGACGCTTTTGCTTGTTTTTTGTGCGGCTTTTTCTTGTTGGCTTGGGCAAAATCCTTCTCTGTTAAGGGAGGAAAAAATAAAGAGAGATAGCAATTCCCAGTATCTAGTGTTTACAACCAACTCAGAGTAAAAAGCCTCATATGAACTTTAACGGAAGCAGGGGCATGAAAAACCAGAAAGGGAGACTTAAGTATGCCCAAAGCTGTACCAACATTAGAACCAGATATTACTTGCAGAAGCTGAAACACTGCTACTGCTCTCATCTACCGATCCTGCATTCAGCACACTGAACTGAAAGGTTCATATTTTCTCCCCCTCCTCGCCCAGTGCATACAGTCAGGGTAGTTTATTACTTCATACTAGCAATCTGAACACTATACTACTTTGGGAAGAGTTCTCAGTGAATTTTACAAGGTACGTTCGATTGAGTTTATTCCCTTGCTTCACACTGGCTATCCCAGTCCCACAGAGAGCTGCGTCACATCTTCCTGAAACAGTAACAGTAGTTTGAATGAGATGTACTAAGCAATCTTAATCAAACCCTGGTTTAAAAGTAACCTGTTCCAAAAGGAGCATCTACAGGTGCTTATAGCAGCCTGAATCAGTAAAGTTTTTATTTAATTTCCTTATCTACAAGGACAGACACTTTAAAACCTTCATTACTAGATTCAGTTGCAGCCATTATGGTATTTTCTATCAACACTCCATGGCTTCTCCATAACCGTATTCAGAGTGGTGTCACTATAGTCCCAAGTTTTGAGTCTTACTGGGAACACAAAAGCGTTTCATTTACAAAACTAACCCCGCACACATCATCTTCTAAAATACTGATCATTATACTAACAGGGAATTCTCATCCACTGAATTTAAGTGAGCCAGAGGCATTTCATTACAAGAACTCTTCTTGCTGGCCCAAAGATTCAGGGTAAGGTAATCCGGCTGTCTTAAAATCACCTTGCTGAGACTTTTCACTAAAGAGATTCAGTCTAAAAATTAATTGTCTACCCTACAGACATATCTCTGGAAGTTTTTTCCTCAGTACTGCCCACACAGCCATCTATTACCTTTTCCTGGCTTAGCTCCTTCTGTAAATTCAGAATTGAGGTGAAATCTATTTAGGTCTTATCTCCCTCTTTCACTGTCTTGAATTTTAAGTGCTTGGATTATGTCAGTGTATTAAAGCTCCTATTAGTATTCGTTTCTTCCTCTGATAAGCCTGTATTTGCTCCCTTTTACTTTTAAGCTTTGCTTCTCAAACTTCTGAAGGAACAACACAGCCCAGAACAAGAAAGTTCAGCTCTCCTCCAAAGGGCTTCTACGCATTTCACCGGTAAGTTTACACAGCCTTGCTTGCTAGCTGAAATCATTTAGCTTACATCTACGGAACGGCATTCGTTACATTTCACACGGATACAAAAATATGCATATTGTTGTTACCTTGAATAGACAAAACAAGAATGGTAGTGTAGTACTGGAACAGGTTATCCAGAGAAGTTGTGGGATCTCCATCCTCGCATGTTTTCAAGACTCAGTTAGACAAAAGCCACAGCCGACCTGATCTAAAGCTGGCGATAGTCCTACTCCAAGTGAAAGCTGGACTAAATGACCTCCAGGGATCTCTTCAAACCAACATTTTTATGATTCTAAGTGTTTTACCTGCGCAATAAACACCACATGCTTTCCACTGAATTTCTTCTCCAGCTCACGAACTAGCCGCACCTGAATCTTCTGGAAAGATTTCAGCTGAGGAACTGGTACAAAGATAATGATGGCTTTTCTGCCACCACCCACTTCGATTTCCTGAAAGAGAACCAGAAATTAAATATTATCTAGGCCACAAGGAGCAACATTCAATTTGGTCACAAATCCCCTAAACACAGATATCGGACTGCTTTACTTACAAGCTCTGAAGAAAAAGAGCATCAAATGAAACTACCTGCTTTAATGCATTTAGAGCACGCATTAAACAGAAACAAACAAACAAACAAACCCAATCACCAAATGAAACTACCTGCTTTAATGCATTCAGAGCAAGCATTAAGCAGAAACAAACAAACAAACCCAATCATATTGTCAGAGCACTATTTCTGCTCTGAGTGACTGGGTAGTCAGTCCTGCCATTCCTCTCAAATTCATATCCTCTACATAATTAAGCTCAAATTCATTCTGCAGGACGGGACTCCGATGCAATAATTATACCGACCATTTATCAGCATATCTGCAGTGCCGCTTACATGCGGCTGTCGAGTTTCCAAAGTTAGTTGCCTTTACTATAGGGACAAAGCCAAAGCTCACAGTAGTAAATCTCCCATCTCTCAATCCTCTCGAGTAGCTACTTAATGATTAAAGTCATCCTTTGGGAGGGTGTCGAGAGGATGGGGCCAGCCTCTTCTCAGCGGTGCCCAGCGACAGGACAAGAGGCACCAGGCATGAACTGAACCACAGGCAGTTCCATCGGAACACGAGGAAAAGCTTCTTTCCTGTGAGGGTGACTGAGCACTGGAACAGCTTGCCCAGAGAGGTTGAACATCTCCAGCAAAGGAGACTCCACAAAACCCACCTGGATGCGACCCTGGGAAACATGCTCTAGAGGACCCTGCTTGATCAGGGGGGTTGGACTAGATGATATGCAGAGGTCCCTTCCAACCTCAACCATTCTGTGATTCTCCAACCACTATTTGCTAAGGCCTGCATCACTACTCAAACACCACATTACCCTCCCCTCCAGATGCCAGCAGGTTTACATCACACCAACACAGATCATTTTCCCTGGTCCATTTCTCTAACAGTTGACCAAAACTTAAGGAATTTGTAGAGATGTACAAGGCACTCGTCTCATGAGCCTCGTCTCAGAAACATGCTGATTCTCTGACAAAATGGAATACTGAATGGAATATTCACAAGAAATGTGCCCATATTCCCACAAATAAAATTAAATGAATGAAATAAACAAACTGCAAAGATATCTTTAAAAACTCATCATGGACAGTCACAATGCACTGCTGCACTTCAGTTAAAAAACCCACACACACACAGCAACAACCACCTCCACCACCACTCTTCTGAAGGGCCCTGAGCTTCATTTAAGTTGGTTCATGTGCCAACCTGACATTTGCATTTCCAGATTTTTTTTTTTTTTTAAACTTAATTCTAATCAGTTACGCACATGTTGGTGGGCTGAGGCAAGCACCAAAGGACAACCTGCAGAAGTTTGTGGCTACAACAATCAGCTTCTGAAGTCCCATCCAATCTCCAAAGCCAAATTCTATCACTGATTTTGTCCCCGCTTTGAGGATCCCGCTGTCAAAATTTATACTGAAACTGAATTTACAAAAAGGCCCAAACTATATGATCAAGTCAATTACTTGGATCCACCTCCTATTTATCATCCGCTGCTCAAAACAGAATCTCAGAATCTACAACAAACCAGTTTGAAGAAGTTATTACAACTTACGTCCCTGACAAAAATTCTTACAATATCTGCACTACTGATACCCACAAACAAAAAGTCAGTTTCCATGTCAAATTCAATTTTCAAAGTAGAATTACCAGCTCTAAGCATTTTTATTTAAAATACTAAGTTACCACATAAGCTTTTACAGTGTATTTTCACAGTAAAACTTATTGAATCCTCCATGTTAACAGCAAATACCAGAAGATAAACCACAACATCACTTAGTAAGAAAATCACAGACCATTTTAAAGCAACAACTAAAGACACCAACCAACCTGTAAATTAACATCTGAACAAATTTTAAGAGACAGAAAAACACCACACAGCAAATCAGCTGAGCAAGCCAACAGCCCTTCTTTGCTGAGAAACTTTAGCCTACCTTAGCTGCTGTGATATTCAACTCCCGCAGCTGAGCCTTTAAGTCAGAGTTCATTTCTAACTCCAGGAGAGCCTAGGGAAAAGGAAGTTGCAAAATAATCCATTATATACAGTTCAGTCATAAAAAAAACTTGAAACTGAGGCCTATCTACATTGCGAGAAAGAAACTATATACTTTTTACCACAGTTTGTATCGAAAAACATTTAGCTTCCTACAAGCCACCCTGTCAGATACAACAAGCATAACTGATAGGAACACAGACCGTGGCAGCTCCTAAACAGGGCTAGGAAAGAGAAATATGTTTAGGCAGCATTACTCTCAAGCTCAAAACAAGAGTCACAACTTTGTTTCCATAATTTGTAGCTGGTTACTGAATAGCAGAAAGAAAACACACGTACCTGGGATATACCAGACTCGAATTCATCTGGCTTCTCGCCATTAGGCTTCACAATCTTTGCGCTAGAGCTGAACATGGCCTTTCTGCAACCCAAAAGAACGTCTCAGTTGTCACCAGAAACACGCCAACCGCTACAAACGCTGCAACGCCCCGGAATCCAGGCATCCAGCCGCACGTTTCGTAACGAAGCCAAGGAGACTCTCACGGGCCACGCTCACCCCAGCAACTTCAGGGCGCACCAGGCCGGGGGAGCCGGCGCCCCGCAGCC